AATTGATTGAATTCTTTTTCATCTAAACCTAGGTTGTTGTCCAAGCTTTTTAATGCATACTCTTTTTCTTGGAAAACAGTCGAGTATACAGTTGCAAATGCTCCCTTTCCGATGATTTTAGTATTGTGAAACTGAGAATAATCAAAATTTTTTACATTGAATTTATTCAAATACGACTTTAATTGACCTGAATATTCAATTACTAATACGTATCATGCGAATTAGTATATTGTACAAATTAAATTTTATTAACGTTATGACTTACATGCTTTTTCTGACATGCTTTTAGGTTAATAATTTATGAAAATTGCAAAATGATGAGTCCTTAGTCAATATTAAGAACAAAAATTTTTTCAAATGATTAGTGAAACGACTTGTAAGAACATTTAAATAGATCCATTATTCAAAATGGCTAAATAAGGTATAACCAAAGAAGCAGAGATGGTAATCGATCACACACTGTAGTTATTTTATGATATTGATCCATCGGATTTTTTTTATCAATAGGGAATTAAATTTAATTTTGAACATTATTACTATTCTATTTTAATAATGGATTTTATAATTTACTGCAATAGCGATGTATCGCTGTCCCGGGTCTATGCCAAAATCCCGAAAGTCAATCCTGAAACTTAATTGTCGCGTCGGGTGATGTCGTGGATTCCATATTCAAACTCCGTTTATGATTGGTGTAATTATGGTTACTAATCATAAGAAGATATTTGATCCAAACATCACACGACGCGAAAATTAAGTTTAGGGTAGCGATACATCTCTATGGCGGTAAATTATAAGCCCTTTAAGAATAGGTAAAAAAATGACAGAACGAACAAATGATTAATTATATTATCATAATAGCAGAAATCGAATATATCAAACACTAAATTTAAACTGGAAAACTATCACTATTCTATTCTAAGAAATAATTGACAGAACGAACGAATGATCAATCACCGTCTCTACAAGGAAAAATGCGTGTTCAGATCCTAAAATGTGAATCAGTCGATATGAAGCTAAAGTGAATAATTTCACCACTATTGGCAAACTGTCGTTGAATTATGGACAATATGCGTCACGTTTGGGTTGGGTAAATCCGAGGAATAATTATTTGCAATCTGGGAAATACAGTCCCTATTTTTGAGCAATCTTAAATATAGAAATTTATGCAAATATGTAAATAATCATAGTGATCTCTATATATAAGGTCGCTTAAAAAAAGGGTCCATGTATAAGAACCCGGTATAACCAATAGGACGATTATAAAGTTTTACAAATACTTGTGCAGGCATTATTAAAACACGGCATGGAACTTCAGGTGAGGACATCCCAAATATGGGATTTAATGCCGATATGGTTATACTATGATCTGCATAATTACGCAATATCCAAATAAGTACATTTAAAGCGAAGCAACTGGAACTAGGTCTATGGTTAGAGTTAGGGTACTCCCACGATATTTTTTATTAGTGCTTCAAGACAGGTTTAGATACTTATATCTTTTTTTTGTTTCGTAAAAATTTACGAATTTGACTGGTTAATCAATGTAGATCTCCCAAATAAGAAAATCGAAAAAAAACATTAATAGAAAGGAGAATCTCCTTTTTGGTTAAAAATTTTATTGGCCTATTAAACCTGATATAAAATTTTACGGGTGTAATCAAAGTAATTCATTTAATATTAAGGTAAGGTTAAGTGCATGTTATTGGAGTCAAGCAAAAGTTATAGTAAAATTTTGAAAGGAATTTTTTTTTGTTTAAGCCCAAAAGTGATTTCATATACGAAATTTTTTGGGATATAATTAAATTTTAAAATTTTTTTTGCTTTTATTACACAAAATTGATTTAACGTTAAATATTTTTGTTTTACGTGCAACCTGTACAAAATTATTGATTGACGTGATTTATAAAAAATGTGATGTTCTTGAAATTTGATATCTAAATAATCCCTTTGTTTTTTTTATTGAATAGGGCCATATGAGTGTGATTTAGATGACTTAGCGTTAGTCACTATATGGCTGTCGTCAATAGAAATCAAGCAGATTGACATTTTAAAAAAATTAATGTCTTAATTTTCACTGCTTATATCTCGATGAATTTTGAAGCTATTCAATAATGAGAATAACTTCGAAATTCATTGAGATATGAGCAGTGAAATCTAAGGAATGGATTTTTTTAAAAATGTCAATCTGCTTGATTTCTATTGGCGACAGCCCATATAGTAATCACTTAGTTTTTATAATTTAAATCATATCGGCAGTTTTTAATAAATAACGATAAGGTACCGATCATGATGATTTAATGTGATTGATTAGGTTAAATAAAATTTGACCAATCTTTTATGTGATTTGGCATGATTATTGAGAATAAAAGTGATTTTTTGTTCAGAGATTGTAAGCCCGATAATGAATTACTTATGAATCGCTTATGAATTTTACACATAAATTTGTACCTGTGATGATTAATGAAGCATAAGAAATCATTCTTTTCTTTCATAATGGAAATAAAATGATCCATGCGAGATTAATATTTTTGTTTGCATTATCATATATACCCATTTTTATTTTTTAACTGTTGTTTTTTTCTTTTTATGAAACACATGCGATATTACACGATGAAGGTGTCGGTCACCAGACTATATCTGATGGATCTTACGAAAAAAACTACTGATACAAAAAAAAAATACTATACTTTTAACACTTAGGAAACATGTCATAATAGTTTAAAAAGATAATAAAATAAGGTTATAAATCACCTTTTATAGGGTTTTTTTTATTTTTTGACAAATAGTAGCTTCGCCAATGATTTCGTCAATCGTTAGTAGTCTCGTCAATCGTCAACGGTTTCGTTAGGACCATCATTTGACGAAACCTTTCATCAATTCAAAATAGTTTCGTCAAGCATCTTTAATACGTTTGTACCTGATTGTAAACTAATCACTTAATTGATAATAATCACAGTGTTTCAACCGGAGATTTCGCCATATGATCAACAATTTGGACCGAAATTATAATTGATGGGTTTCTTTATTATTTAGACTGCGCAAGCGTTGGCAGAATCATGAATATGGACAATATGGACTAGGGATGGGCAAACTTTTTATATATCCTTAAATATTCTTAAATTTCAGTATAATAAATAATTCTATTTAAACACAAATATTATTATCATTAGAATATAGGGTCTTTGTCTTAAAATGACCTTACGGGACTATATAGATTTTATGAATAAAAATTCAAATTTCCAACTGAAACAAACTTTTTTTATTTTGTAAAGTTGAATTTTACAAAATAAACAAAGATTTCTAGAAATTTTAAATTTTATTCATAAAATCTACATAGTCCGTGCAAAGACCCATATTGTTATTTACCACCGGTGGCGTTATCGCCAGGAATACGTACTACATCTCAAAAATCTACATGTTGGATCGGTCCATCCTTTTAGACTGATTGGGCAAAATGATTACATCATATCTAATCTATCAATTTGATTGGGTGTCATAAGTGTTACAGTGATGGTCACAAGGACCGATAAGGACTGGTGCAACCTAATGTCGGGGTACTAGGTAAAAAATAGTTAAAACCCAACCTTGGTCTAAAATTGTACCCTAACTTTAAATTAAACAAGAGGTGGGTATCGCCACCGGTGATAAATGCCAAAATTGTTATCATTATACGTACCAAATAAGAAACTTCCAAATTAAATATTTATTTTTTTAATAAAATAGTTTCGAACTTCTAAAGGAATACATTGCTGCGACAGATCCAGATATAGGCTTATCAGGATTGCAAAACATGCATTTGGCTTTAGGCCAGTAAACCAACTGGAAGTTCATGAAATAAGTGTCATATTTGAAAACCTGGTAAAGGCAATCTGACATTGTATATAAATATGTTATTATTGCATTCAAACGATCGATCTTTTTTATTTTTTTTTTTAACTCAAAAAACCAATCATATACGTATATAATATATGCAATCGATATAAATAACCGTTTATGTAGTTTATTTGTAATCGATAACTCTTAAATTACTTAATAATATGTAATAATTTACAGAATATGTAAGGGTTAACTTTTAGCTATCGATTGCATAATTACGTATTGCATTACCCATCCCTAATATAGACCAATGGACATGAACATGGACATTTATGGACTATGTCCATATTGTCCATTGTATATAGACACTTAGTTCAAATAAAGATCGAGAGCTTATTATCCAAAGACAGGCAAGGTCGAGACTAACACTAAAGTAAAATTCTGAAACAAACATAAGTGGACCATAAATTGATCACCTTTATTTTATATGGCATATTGAGGAACTATACCGGACTTTTTTACATTTATCAATATACAACATATGGACATGAACATTATTTGGATTATATCAAAATAAGATTTTTATTGGATATATTCCAAATGCCGAAACTGGACTGTGGTGTACTATGTAAATCAAAACTATATGTGGATATATAATAAAATTTATTGATTTTTCCGATAGTAATAAATTTTATAGCAATTATTACAAAATTTTAAATAGATGTACAAGCTCTAACGGATCGACAGTTTTTGATAGAACTTTGCAGTATTACGTCCTTATGGCCAAAATTACAGAGCCATTTCTTTTATTTATTATGAAAAAATTTAAATATGATATGTTCTTTTTTTCTTAAAAAAGGCAAGAAGAATAGCTCTTTTAAAGGAAATGGTCCTGTAACTTTGTTTATAGGAACGTAATACTGGTCTTTGCAAACTTTTATCCAAATCCGTCGAGACATTAGAGCTATGCATCTATTTAAAGTTTTATAATAATTATTATAAAATTTATTACCTATCGCTATCAAAAAATCTTCATTAATAAATTTTATTATATATCTACATATAAGTTTGATTTGCATAGTACACCACACACCCCAATGTGACATTGAATCAATTAATTAATAATATATAGTTATTGGATGAGAAGCAGCCAATGATTAGATTTGTTAAATAATTCATTATCTGGCTGTGAATTGAGTATATGGTAAATAATAAAATTACTAATACCGGTTTATGATAAAAAAGTAAAAGAGTGCTGTTAGACCCCAAAATTAGGCTGCTTGAAGTTGAATTTTCAGTTAACGTCACTTTCAGAACTCTTGAAGGGGGAGGGGATTCGCATAAATTGATTTGTATAGCAGGTAGAGAATTCGGGATCTATCGCAGCAGAAAACGAGAATCCCTATCTCCTACTGGCAGCAGACACGTGTAAGGTACAAATGGAGCCCGGTTTATCATATTAATCGTACATACTGATTTCCTTAAGTTCGTGAATATTTATACTCTGCCTCTTGTTTATTGATGTTAATTTATCTGTGAATAAAAAGGTTTTTAATGTCTAACATAAACACAGTATATTAGATCTTTTTATTCGTGTTATTTAGTAATGTATAAAGATTATTTTACTCAATGCGCTAAAATTCGTAAAGTCATAAGTTTGTAAGCTAGATTGTGAATAATGCAATGTATAAAAGTAATGTATATTAAAATTATTTTAATGGTATTGTATATTTATTTTAATCTTTATTTTCTTACATTTTCATTCGCTAAAAAAAAACAAAAAAGTTCTTATAAATAAAAATTTCATATTTTGCCGGCAATCAGTTTCCGAAAATCACATGTACTGTAAGCCGGCAAAATAATCCGGCTACCGTTTTTTTCTGGGCGACGTTAGGGTCGTTCAAGTTATTTGGCAGATAATGTCAAAATAACTTGAGTTATTTTAGTAGTATTATAATGGTAAGCTGCTAGATATATTTTTTTTCCAACTCCGTAAATATGGAGAATTCGCAGAAAAAATGTATCGTGTTTGCCAATTTTAAACACTGTCCGTGCATAACTAATTAGGAAAAAGTATGATTTTATTACGTTTAATGATGTATCACTGATTTAATATAAATGCGATTTATTATTACGAATAATGTTAATATAACTCGAAATATCAAATAATAAACTTTAACAATCAAGAATTCGAACACAATTGATCAATCCTCATAATTCTCTTAAAGAAGGCACAGATTCACCAACGACATCAATCAATAATACAAGTAAAAAAAGGCGAGTGAAGAAGAGTATACAACGAAACCAATAAGTAAAAGAAGAGCAAACAATGCAAGCTCCAAGTAAAATCAGCCAACTATGTGTATTTAACCATCGTAAAAAAAGATAAGTATTACAACATTTCTATTTAAAATTCAACAATATTTTATTAAAATATTATCTTTGCATTTTCACAATTTTAAAAGTAGTCTACCTAATGTCTTTTTCCAGCAAATAGCAATTTTAAGTACACTAAACTTAATAATATCTTTGCCCAACAACTAACAAGTTTAAATATATCTAGCCTAATAACCGATAATATTTTAACAAATAACAATTTTAAAATACATCCGATATAACAATGTCTTTACCAAGAAATAAAATATTCAAATACATTCACCCAATAGTGCCTTTACCAATAAGTAGCAATTTTAAACAAATCCGATCTAATAATATTTTCGCCCACCAAATAACAATTTTAATATACCCAGTTTAATAATGTCTTCAATCAATAACATTTTATGCATTTAAAAATTTTCTCGACTCTATATGATTTTAATACAGAGACCTGGGCAAATAAGTTTTCGAAAAAAGCATAAGTGTCTCATAAGACACTTGCAATAAAATCATTTAATATTTTAATATATCTAAATATAAAATTATTTTTTAATAAATAATATGGAAAACCAATATATAAAACTACCAAAAAGTTTAAAAATAGCTAATCCAATTGTTGACCATAAAATAATTTCAAAATATATTATTAGATAATTAAAATAATAATAATAAAAATCATAAGAAAAATAATTACTAAAAAAACTATTAAATATAAAATATATTCCAATTGTATATAAAGCGTTGCTTGCAACCCACGTTATCATAATCCATGGTGTAAATTCTTTCAAAGAATAATCCTGAATTGTACATTTTAATTCATTTTTACTGCTTTGAATGATTCCATTCCAGGCCGCATAATATGCGGTATTAATAATAGTTTCACAAGGCAATGAAACTTCAACAATATTTTTTTCAAAAGTATTTAAAAAAGAATTAATCTCTTCAGCAGTTTCAATTGAATAATTTGTTTCCAAACTAGAACTTTGTTAAAAATAAATTAAATTAATTAATTAACATAAAGTCAAAACAAATCAAAATAAATTTAAATTAACGTTACCTTCTGTTAATTTTAAAAAAAGTATAAAGATTTAACCCATTACAATAAAATGGAAAAAATAAAATATATTGGATAAAACAAACAAAACAGACAAACATATGGCATGGGCATGAGGCTATTGAGTTCACACTATAATATAAACCATATATAGAAATTAGAATTAAAAAACTATATATAAAGAAATAAATTTTAGTATTATACGGGTCATTATAATTATTACCACTACAATTACTATAATTAATATTACTATTGTTATAAATAGCCCGGTGAGCACCATAATCATTAGTGTTATAATTATAAGTAATATATGTATAATTATAATAAGTATAATTAGTATAACAAGTACCATTTGTGTAATAATAATTTTGACGAAAAATCAAAGAGCCATTTGTAGTGGGGTATTGATAATGACTAAAATCATTATAATAGTAATCATAGAAATTATAGTAGTCGAACATAGCAAAAGAATGAGTAAGATTTATATTGGCATTATCAATAAAATCATAACTAGAAGCGTAATAAGTGCCATTTCTGTAATGATAATACTCAGTGTCATTATAATTATAAGCATATAATTTAAACTCATAAATTGTAAACCAAAAAATATTGAGTAACAAATAAATCATGAGAATAATTGAGAACGTCAACGGAATAATATCCCACCATTTAGCACTATTAAATGACAGTACAAATTATTAGTTAAATATATATATATAAATACCAAGATATAAAATCAATATTGCAAATTTAAATTATAGGCCTACATTTGAGGTTTGTTGACTAATGCAAAAATAATCTGCATTATAGTAATTACGATATAAATCCAAAATAAAATATGACCAGTTCTTGGATCCAGATAATTAGGTATAACATCCTCAGCCAAATTAAATGCAAAAGGTAGTAAATGTAATACCAAAATTAAAAAAATCGAGCAGAAAATTCCCTAAAAAAATGGCAAATTAATATTATAAATAAATAGTGCAAATAAATAGAGTATATATTTACCATAGCAAACCAAGAAAAAAGGAAATGGAAAGTTTGGTATATAATTTTAATTTGTAAACAGATTTTGCGAAAGATTGAGTGCCCGCTTCTCCAAATGTAATAAAAATGTGTAATTGCATAAAAGCTTGTATAAAAATATTCATTTAATCTGCTATTATATTGCTGAATCATTTCAGACCAATTTTCAGGTATGTCTACTTCAGCTTTGGATAAATTTTCATAGCGTAATACCCAAG